CTCTTCCAAGCGCTCTCGAGCTGCCTGCCTGTCTGCTGCTGTCGTCGCCTCTTCACCCTCGCCACCCAGCGTCAAGGAAGCAGCCGCAGCATCATCCAAGCTGCTCAAAGTCTCCGAATCGCCATCCCACTCATCCAGCAGCTCCGAGTCTCCGCCGATGGAGGAAATGTCCGAATCTTCCTCCTCTTCACCCTCGTGCCGCCTGCCTTTCTGCAGATCGATTTCGAGCGCACCGATGTGGTCACGCAGAGGTGCGTCCACATCATCGTCATCCTCGTCCGCCTCTTCCCCTTCGGCAATCTCGTCCGTGGTGCTCTCACCAGCAGCTGGCCATCTGTAACCAAAGGCCTGGCTTCCGAGATCTGCATCTGGCGCACGATCCTCCACATCCTCTTCTAGGTCCTCCACTTCAAGCGCATTGGCTCTGGAGCGCGCTCCAATGCGAGTGAATGGGGCGAGCGAAATGCTGGGACCTACAATGACGTCTGGGCCAATGACGCATCCTCTAGCCAGCTTGCAATCGTCCAGAATTTGCGCTCCAGTGCCGATGATGCAGTGATCCATCTCGCAGCGAGAGCCTATGCGCACCCCATCCCACAAGTGGCTGTGGGAGATGGTGGATGAGGAAGCAATGTCTACGTGCGAGCCTACAGCGGTGCAATCGAGCACGACGCCCTGAGCAATGCTGGACTGCGCACCTATCACCACATTTCGACCCAGTCGCGCATCTCTGTGATGTGGAGCAGCGCGCAGGCGTCAGCAATGCCACATCTGGAAAAGAAGGGTGGCGGCCCCCCGCTGCAGCTCACCTGGCCACGCTGACGTCTGGCCCGATGAATGCCGTTCCGCGCAGAGCGTATCGCTCTCCAGGCCAGGACACGTTGCCAGGTCGAAGTGGCTGAGCAGCGCCGCCGATGAGATCGCAGACGACTGCGTGGTATTGGCGCGTGCAGTCGATCTGCGCACCGTAACCGCTCGCCGAGGTGGTGGAGGAGCCGGAGGGGTGGACGCTGGTGGAGGGCGAGATGTGCAGGAAGATTTTGGTGTCCAA